GTCAGTGAGTGAACCAATTTGGAAAATATCTTATGTAGATGATGTTAACCCGTTGAATCTGTACACATACATTCAATCTTATTTCAATTTCTAAAATAAGACGCATTCAAGCGTTAATTATCTATCCACCATTTTAAAATCCATATAATAAATGTACTACAAATATATTCAAGAATATGCGAGGTGGAACATCCCATATACTAAAACAGTTTGGAAAAGCTACAAATCCAATCGATCCTAGCAGGTGAAAGTCGTCTGGATTAGGACGAACAGTCAGCAAATACGATCTCCAACCATAAGTGCCCTCGTGGTCCTGAGCAGCGTGCACGATTCATTGGGCAAGAATTCTGAGCGTTTCTGACGTAACATTCGGTAGCGCGAGGGAAAACGAACCGGAGAAATTCGAAAGACACGCGCTGCGACTTACACCCTCGTCCCGCAGCTTTGTTCGGCGTCTCGTAACGAGGGGAGAATGAAAAATTTACATGCAATGACGCACGTGGTTACAAAAACATAACGCTACTGTTGCCACATGATCGATCGTTTCCGTTAATCGGCGTTAAATTATAGACGCGCGATAAAATTACTATGGAGTTGGCATCTGCGAAGAGAGTGAAATTAACGACTTTTTTTTTCTAACAGTAGAGTAATAGTAATCTGCACGGTTGGTTAACCCTTAGACGTCCGCGGGATTTTTCTTTTCTACGTAAACTGCGTAATGAGATCTATCTATAAGTGACTGGAACGTTATTAGTCACACCGGAACAATTATTAGTCAGACTGCGGAGTAGTCAACATCGTGCATTAAAAAAATATTATTACAAACGCCTCGGTATTAATGTATTTGTGAACGCAAAAAATATGTAAATTCCTGTATGTTTCATAAATTATTTAGTCACTACAGAGATATGTTTCAACGTGTTAGAAAGGATAGCTATGCGTAAGCAGATGTAAAACGTTTTCGAGATGTTTCGTTGAATTCTCTTTATATATTTAGAGATTACCTGGATAATATTCATTAGTATATGTACAGCCAGTGTAAGAAGTATTCGTACAGCAACCAATTTAAAATAAAACTAATAAGAAAAAAAATAAGAGGTTGACATTAAAAATAATAAACTGTAACTTATGCAAATTTTACTCTAAAAGTATGTAGGAATGTTGGTTAATTATTTCTTTCCATAAAATTTATTAATAAAATAAATATATGAAGTTTTATTTTGAATTGGTTTCTACGCGAATACTTATTACACTGACTGTATAAGTATAGCCATTATTTAATACATAAAAGGATGAGTAATTAAGGTAGATATTGTGTTAAAATACGAAGTCTAGTCAAGAAGAGTACCTTCTTAACTTATAGATAAGGTACGTAACAGGTAAATATAGTAGTGCTGTGGAATGATTATTAAACCATCCTTTTACTTGTAAATTGACAATATATGTATACTGGCATATATTCAGGAACAATGAAATCCATGGTGTATACTTTCTTACCCTTGAATGACTATTTTTGGTTAAATTTGAGAATTATAAAATTACTTTAATTGTTGCATAGAGTAATTGGTTATATACAGGGTATGTTGTTTTAATTAGAATAAATGACCTCGTGTGATAGGTCACTGAATTTGTCTAAATAAATGCTATTTTACTATGAATCAAAATATATAAGGTGGAGATACAGTTGGAGATTATTTGGAAAATATTTAGAAATATATAAGAATTGACATAGCAACTTTAATGCATCCCCTTGAAAAAAGATTTTAAAGATATTTATGAGAAATGATGCTTCACAATAAACAAGGACAATTTGTCATCTTTTTCTATCGAGAAACATCATTTCCATTAAAAATAAACTTCTTTAACTTCTCTTGAAAGAGAATGTATGATCACAAGTTTCAATGAACTTTTCATTTGTTATTTTTAAATCGTGACGGCCATGACCTGAATTTTGTTTATACCAGATAGTAATTAACTATCACTTTAAATTATGATTGACTAACATTTAAATGTTAAACTACGATTTCAACAAATCTTCAAAGTGTTTGAAATTAAGAAACTATTAACTAATATAGTAGTTCAGAATCTTTTTTTCCTTTAAATTATAATTTAAAGTTGATTTCTGGTATATTCCTAAATATTTTCTAGATAACACTTCAAAGAAAATCCAACCATAACATTCGAAAACATTTTACATCGGTTTGTAGAAACTAACCAACACATTAAAATTGTTTAATTAATAATCCCGTCATACCATTTGAGAACGTATGTACGTATCGACATTATTTATCTTGTAGAAATATAATGTACGTAATGTGTCGGCAACGAGATTTCGCAGTCAAGAGTACAAGCTTGTATGGAAATTTATCTTCTTCGGATTAAATTGCTCGGCGTATACATGCTCGGTAATGCGCGTCGGCGTCTTTGCTACGATTGCCAAGGAACATTTGAAGAATCTCGAGCATTTATTGTTTCGCCGCAGCATTTGTCTCCCCCAAGAATGGCAGGAATCACGCCATAATATTGACGTCAAACCGCTTCTTCATGGAAACTGTCGTCTGATTAAATCATTTTTCATTTGCTTCGTTTCACGTTTTTCTCGTTGAAACCGGTTGACAGCACCGTTACAGCCAGACTCATTCTAAACCAATAATTAATTCCAGGTATTGGACTAGTCATTGCTATTAAATAATCATCTGATCGGACGAGGCAGAGATTATTTTGACAGCTATTCACGTTATACTAATTAAAATCCAGCAGTGCTATCTTTGGAGTACGTGTAAACTGATCCGAACGATCTCGTTCTCTGTGTTTGCTTCTGTTGGTTGGAAAGATTGGCATCCTTTTTTGAGTTTGATAATTAGACAGGTAATTAAAACAGAAACTAGAAGGATGACTTGATGGATTACTTATTTTTTGGGTTTGATTCGAATGACATTCATAAATAACCTACGAAAATTCATAGACTGAGATGTTATTTTATAATAAAGTTAAAATGCAAGGTTTATGAATTGACATATAACGATAGTAATCTTTAACTTATAATTAGACTTAAAGGTAGATGGTTACTTAAAACAAAAATTCAAAGGATGATTTGATGGATTATATTTTTTGGAGTTTGCTTTGAATGGTATCCATGATTAACCTACCAAAATATGTAGACCGAGATACTTTTTATAACAGGCTAAACGTACGAGATTCAACTATTGGCATATAATAATATTAGTAATCCTTAACAATCAACTTAAACGTAAGATGTACAAGATTATCCTGCTACGTACCAGAAGATAAAAATTATTATGCAAAAAGGGAAACCATTAATCGAAAACCTTCACGTTTAACAAAGGTATAGTGATCTATAGAAAATATATCGATTGGGAAAACTTGAAATAGTAAAACACATATGAAAAGGAAGTTAATTTTGCAATACCGGCACCGCTGCGTGTCAAACGTAGTTCTTTCGCTTCAGGTGCACGATTCCTTTTTAAGAACATAATTTCGAGTGGCCCATTTATTACGGGCACCGTGTAATTTCGACGAAAGGGCCCATAATTTCCGGCTTTTCAGAGACAGTACTACAATTTCACGTAAGATTTACGTCACGCGCGCGACACAGCCGGAAAAGTCTGGCCTGGAATCCGTTTCACAATCCTTCGTAACGGCGCCATCGTCCTGCATCGCCATAAGTTAGAAAGGGCCATTGTGTCCACTTTTCCTCCATAAAGCGTGTCGCGGATCTAATCGCCGACTAATCGCCCACGCAAATACCTACGTGCTCTCGCGCGGATCGTTAGAGTGCGTTTCCAAGGAGCCCGCTACGCGTGTACCGAGTTATTTACTGTCGGATCAAGGCTGGTAGCGGATTCTACGCTACGTCCCGCGCAAGAAGAATGCCGTAACAAAGGTTTTCATCGGTTATTTTCGCTCGCAACGATAACATCTTTCGGTTTCCCTTTGCCGTGTCCTTACATTGCGATCGGATCGTTTTGTTATCATAATGACTGTGTCAACACGCCTGCTGCGCGACAGAATCTCGCACTGACAACTGCTGTTGCTTGATTTTGGAGCAACCTGGTGTTCTATCGGGTTCTTTAACTCTTTCGGAGCATCGTAATCGAAATTCTGGAATGTAAAGATATTTAACAGTAAAATCTTTTATTGTTTTCATTAATACTTGTATTATAGTATGAAAACACATTTTTAAATGTACAGTAGATACATCTAATATAAGACCAACATATTGAAACAAATTTCATATATGAATATTCTGGAAATTTTATTTTTACACGCTAGCAAGGATACCACAAAAATAAACAACATTTAACCAATTTTATAATTCCATATATTAGGTTGTCCCAAAAGTTCCTTCCGTGACTTGCACTCAGCTATTTTGTGTAGCAGTGTTTATATAAATAAACAACCTAATTTATTAGACTCTAATGTTGTAACATTAATGGAGCAAAATGGATCATACGCAGTTCAATAATGTAAAATTAGACATAAAATATTATGTATGTATTACTTATTAATGAAATGGAAGAAACATTTGGGACAACCTAATACTTATATATATTTACTTCATAGATATCTCACCATTTGCAACGTATCTACCAAAAAAGTAAGTATCGACCCTGGCAGTATCGTAGAACATTAATAAGTATTTTTAAACAATCTAATCTAAATATAAATTTTTCTTTGCGTCCATGAGGGATATCTTCATATACGTATATCAACATATTCGTTAATCATCACGTCGAAACGAGATTGCCAACAATAAACAACACCGTGACATAATCACGGGTTTCATTTTCTCACCTGGAACTCTCGTGCGTGGAATTTATCTCTTCCAGCGTGTCGGATTTTAATCGTAAATTATTAAGGAAATTGTATGTCGCGCCGTTCGGTAAAAACAGGGAAGACGCCGCGCGCATGCGCGTGAATCCTTAGTAGGTCGCGGAGTCGGCATGAACGAAGAACTCGTCCCGCGTCGCTTCCACGGATCAGTCATACAAAGGTGACTCGGGATACGAGACGCGCATAAATCGACACAACAGACATAGGACACGTTCGTTTTAGAATTCTTGAATCATCCTGGGTGAATGTCGGCTCGCGAAACTCTTCCAAAATCAATTAGTTTGCAATTTAACGGAACCTTAAAAACACGCAAGTGCGCGGAGTGAGTGTGTGTGGTGGCTGCACATACGAGATTACAGAAGATTCGCAGTGCTAAGAAATGGGATACAGTGAGGCAGGAAGAGGAAATCATTAGAGATAACCGAGTGACGGACAGGGATAATACGTATTGGTCCTGTGGAAGGTGTCTGTGAAGAGGGATCGTCAGAAATTTTGCAAGGAAGGCGGTTGACGCGCGATAGTAGGTCGAATCGCTCGTTCGGCGGCGCTCGGCCGCGGTCGGGTGTGCTCGGCACGCTCGAATTCGAAGTTCGTGTCGTGGCGGTCGCGCGCTCAGCGGTCGGTCGGTCAGTCAGTCAGTCGCACGCGGCACACGAAAGCCTCGAGAAGTCGAGGGAGGTTCGAGAACCACGCGTGAAAACAGAACGAACGATACGTAAGGAACAACACTGGACAAGGTGAAGGCAAGGAACGATTCGGTGACTCGACGTAAACAAGACAGGCCCAGAGGACGATTAGAAACGGGATCGTGCGTTGCGCGTTTCATTCGCGCGAAGATACTGGAGCCGCTTTAGCGAACGGGTCGATCTCTCCTCTCCAATTCGAGAGATCGACTGACCACCCTTCGAGGCAGCTCGCGGAGGCAGTAACCCTTGACGGAGACGGAGTTGCAGCTGTCAAAAGTGAGATACTACGGGAGAACACCGGCAAAGACGAGATGGTGTACGGAGGAGGCTTCGATATGGTGGAAACGGTGAGTCTTGTTTTTGTTTACTGTGCCGAACAAAATGTCCTTTGGCTCGCGTGTGCGGCGCGTGGTTACATTCTTTCGAAGTTGACGAATCTCCGTTAAACTTTTTTTCTCTTTAGAGATTATGTTAAATGGCATCGCATCTATTTTCTAAATTTAGTAATTCAGACTGATACTCGGTGAACAATTATTAATCGATCTCATCTTTATTACGAGTCATTAGATTTTATGATTTTTCTTGATAATAAGAAAGTATTCGGTTCTACGTGTATTAGAATTAAAAGAAAATGTTTAGAGGAATACTATGACAATTTTATATTATGACGACATTCTTATGACAATTTTAAGAATCAAATAGATGAAATTAGTTGTTTCATGATAAAGGTAATCTCAAAAACACGTGCTTCGGTTTTAAGGGTAAGAGGAATACGTATCCCACATTCGATTAGGCGAATGTAGCCTACCCGGATGTCATGTGTACATGTACGGTTTATGTTTAAAAGTTGTATACTTCGAACTAAGTATTACTAAATACTTATTTTATACAAAAATTCAAATATCATGCTATTTCTCAGAATATGTTTTAATTAATGCATCATAGAACTAAACATTTTGCATTACTGATGAGTACCATACAGTATCATGGTTAAAACATCTAATAAAGATGAATTGAATGCTTACTAGGACAGTATTAAATAATATTTTATTTATTTAAAAATTAATATTTCTATATAAATAGAAATTTTAATTTCAGTTAAACTTACAATTCAAGGCAAAATTGAGTTCGTAGTACATACTTCATAAATCGTTTACTCCGACTACAAACGAAAGTAACCTCTAAGAGGTAGTTAATGATAGAACGTATAGAATTAGAATTTTCTAAGAAAGATAAATGTCAGTGTGTTACTACGTTAATCAATTGCGAAAGAATGTAGCTACGTCCTTGTATTTAGGAAGTGACGTCAAGCATACGAATGCCTGTTTAAAACCTTTTTATTTGTGAAAATCGTGTCGAACCGGTGTACGTATTCCAATCGTCGTGCTTCGAGTACGAACCGTGGAATACGAGAGGAATGTAGTGGCGCCAAAACTGTCCCCGTCAAATACCTTTCGCGCGACACTAATACAGTTCAAATTACGCGCCAATTTCGAACTACATTTTTCGAAGGGTTATTCGAAATATGAGTAAAAAGTGCAATATTAGTTTTTATTATATACGTTGTAGATTTAATATTCTGTTAATATTTGAATAACATTTGATATTTACACAAATATTAGGTTGTCCCAAAAGTTTCTTTCGTTTTATTAATAATTAATATATACACAATATTGTATGTTTTATGTTACATTACTGAATTGTGTACGATTCATTTCGCTTCATTACTGTTACAGCATCAATGTCTAAGAAATTAGATTGTCTGTTTATATAAACACTGCCACAGAAAATAATTGAATGCAACTCACGAAAGAAACTTTTCGGACAACCTAATAGAATGTCACGTTTTAATTACGAATTTTATTAATTTATGCCATATGCTGCTAAGGAAAATATACATATACAGAACGTATGTGGATGATATTTATTAGAATGCGATTAAATGAAAGGAAATTGGTTATAGCAGTATAGGTAGTTTATAGGATTTCATTAAATGATTAGAATATTAGTAAATAAATTGTAAATAGGAAAGTATGAGTATATAGCAGAATTTTTTTAAACGAATGAAATTAAATACAAGAGTATAATTAATCGGTAAAATTTTGAGAAATGATCGAAGTGTACCACATGTTTAGAATAGTATTAAATAAATTATAGCATAAAAATATTACGTAAAGAGTATTTGTCTCGCGATTTAATTAAATTAATGCGAACAGTCAGTCGAGCCATCGTGTAACGTTTGATTTTCCATAACGTGAAACATTTATGTTTGATTTACGTTTCTTGAATATGTTTGCGGTGGATGCAAGCAGCAAAGATAATATAACGGATTTCGCGTGATTCCCAATGACGACTCGCGGCTCATGTTTCAAGCAGAACTATTTGTACGCGCGGCGTACGCACGGTAATTAGAATTAATTTGACCGCGCCACTTTAGAAACAGCGGGTGTTTTACAAGTGAAATGCTATCCCGGGCCTGTTCGGCCGATGATAATGAGCAGGAACATCGGTACGTGAACGAGTTAACGGTTCGTCTGCCGACGAGAATCTCGAATTATAACGAAGACTCGGATGATTTCTCACTACGGTGATCCAAATTGTTGCGCGTGGTTGTACGTCGTTTCGTTAGTTAGTAAGACTGCGCTCGTCGGGATGCGTTTGCAAATTAGCGCGGTAAATTTATCGGTTTTGAATATCTATGCCTATGATGAATAAAAGGCGGGATTCCGAGAAAAGGTGTTTTAAATGCGGCAATTACCTTGCATAATACTTTTGTCTCGTAACTGGTGTTCTTTTGTTTCACTGGGGATACATAAATTCTGCAAAGGAGGTGTAGGTTCTTTTGAAGCCAATTTTTGACATTTTTGGCGTAATAATTGTAGCATGTATTGTTTGAATGTAAGCATTCTTTATTTAATATGAACATTTTCATCCCTTATTTGGAGCCTCTTTGATTGAGAGTTCTTTCTGAAGAATTCATAATCATTTTTTGTATATCGCAAAGGACCTAATTTAAGCGCCGAGACCCTTTATATTGCATACATTATTGTTGAAGTTTATATTGAGTAAATTGTACTTTATTAGACGTTGTATGCTGTTATATTTGTTTCGATTATGGCAAGCAACATGTATGTTTATATTTTGGATCAGGTATTTAAATAGCAGAATGCATGTACACATTTTACTAAATGTTTATTTCCTTTTTTTCCTTCTTAATTCATGTTCCTGTACGAGAGCCGTATCAAACATATTTCAGTTATTACATTTTAACCCACGTTATCTACCCTCTTTAGACAAATTTACACTGATTGTTTCTACTTTCCCTTCGTACATGATCTACATTACAAACTACATTGTTCACTGACCAGAAAAATGATTAACAATTGTTTGTGAATTTTTTTGGAAATCTATGTCAACGTTTTATAATAGAATACTTTTTTGTCGCTTTAAAATAAGTTTGTTCAATATATCTCTTCTTCGGAATTTTTTTCTTCGCGTTGTACAGAATTCTCATAAACTTTGTACTTACAAACTTTATTAAATAGCAAGAAATTTGATTTTTTCGTCGCAATTATCTGCGATTAACTTTAAAAAAAAGAAAATCTTAATCGAAAGGTCGAATTTCTTTTTTTGTTGTCATTTCGCTCGACTTTCGGTATCGACTTTTTTCGATTATCTATTTGCACGTAAATGTAATGATGTAATCCGTGGAAAAATTTCATTTAGTCGAGCGTCAGTGTACAATGTACTGTAATAATTAACAGTAATAAATCATCCAAGATATACAATGTTGCGTTGCTTAACAAAGTCCGTCGCGAATAAGTGGAGAATATTTGTGCTGATAATTGGTCAATAGACAATTTTAATAAAAAAAAAACGACGGCATTGATTTCAAAAGCATAAATGCTAATGTATTTCTTTTAATTAAAAAACTGTGCAATTAAAGGTTAAAAATCAGACGATCGTTATGTAGTGTTTTTATTTCTCACGTGAAGGTCTTGTTTCTGAACAAAATTATGTTCGAAAAAAAAAAATTTTATTACTTATGTATCGTAAAATGGGGTTAATAGAAACGAAAATTTAAAATTTTTTGTTGCTTAATTTGTATCACTTGCAGTAAGGTTACCTATAGTTCATTTTATGACTTTTCAATTATGCATGGTTGTACCTGTCTTTATATTTTATTAATATACATTTAGATTAGAATTTATTAGGCTCCCAAAACTTAATTGATCATTTACTATAAAGCAGTGTTTCTATTCATCCCAATTTGCTGGGTGGTTAGCATCTCAATTTTTCATTATTATTATTTGGGTAAACGGTGTCCAGTAATTGTTAATCAGTTCAAGGGTACCAGGGTTACATATACAATTTGAGCTGCGTTTTTATATTTCATTTTATTTGGATACTTAATCTTGAATACATTGGTACACCTTGGGTACAAAAGTGTTTCCATTCATCCCATATTAGAGCGATATTCGAATGGATACGTATATTTATTAGGCAATCATATGTGGTTATTTACAAGATTGCAGTAGAAAAGAGATAAGTTTCTACTCAACTATATTGAAACGGAAATGTAGGCACACATTCAGGGCAACCTAATGTAGTCTTCAGAATTATTTCAGATTTTTCCGTTACGGTTACATTTTCATTATAAATCAACAATTATTCACTAATACGGAAAAGTCAATACATCCATAATGCAACGCCTATTTTAACTCTTTAAAATTTGACTTTGGATTAGTATTATGAATTAGAATAGGATTGTGCAGAAACATGGGCTAGAAATAACACATAAATGAAGGAAAATCAATGTCAAAAGAAAACAGAACACCAAAGGTGTGAAAGTATTTCGATCTATTTTACAGTATAGTTGAGATTATCAATTTTATTTATTCAAGTTTTGCAATCACTAGTCTATACATTGTCTATACATTGAAATTTCTAAGCCTTCTTCGCCTCGTATGTCGCAGACGAAACAATTTCGTTACTCCGTACGCATTGTCCCAGTTTGTGTAACTAGATACGTCCCTGTCGTAGAAAGACACAAACAGTCGGAGACGGTCGCGCTGGCTAACTTTCGAATCTACTACCACTGAACTCTCAATGGTCAGGTACGAGAAATTTACTCGGCCGGTAGGCAATGGAAAATTTTGCGGTAAAAACGGTGGAAAAACACGGTATTTTCACTGGCTCGCCAACAGGACGCAGGGTGTGATTTAACTATGCGAAAGTGCTGCTCGTATTTCATCGGATAACTAGGCATTTGCGCGCTAATTGAGAAAACCCTAATCAACCGCGGTTCTTTCGTTGCAATTACCGATTACTGCTTGCTCGTGAATTT